TCGGGTTTTGGGTTTCGGAAAAATAAATGCATTTCCAAAATTAGGTTTCGTTATATACCAAAACCTAAAGAGTTTCGGGAGGTTTCGGTTTTGATACCCATGTTTAATGCATTTATTTTGAAAGTTATTATATATATATATTTATTAATAAAAAAGAAAATGTTTTATGAATTTAGTAAATAGAATATTAAAAATTAAAATAATATACAATAATTAAATTTTAGCAATAAAAAAATTTACTTAATTTTACCATTTAAGGTTAGATCAAATCTAGATTGAACAAACTTCCGTATAACAAATAAGATTTTTACATATGTACAAAAATGAAAATTAGGGTAACATAAGAATGACAAATGATATTAAGTCATGTGAAATTAACAAAAAAACCCATTACGATCACAAGCTTTAAAGTTGGAAATTAATTTTAATTTAATCATTGCATCAGAAGTTTAAAATGATGCAAACTTTGAACGCCCGAATTCAATATTAAGCAACTATTATAAGTAAAAAGGAATATTTTACATTGAGAATATGTTTGTTAAAAATTTTAACTTGTGCTATCTATTTAAATGATCTCTAATTATTTTACTAAAAATACACAATTTTGAAACTTTTCCTATTAACTATTGGTTCTTCTAAACAATTGATTACATAAATGACCATACAGTTAATCGCGAAGATCCCTGGGGGTTTTTTTTTTTACCCAAAATAAGTAAAATTTAATTTAATACGCGATATCACGTTATTTGTCAGAAACCTAGTTATAGAGGGCAAACTCAGATGTACAAACTACATATTGCTCTACAAATTGCATTTTCTTTTGAATAACGTATCACCACAGATATTTGATTTTGTATATAACCGAGCATGTTTGTTGTAATTTTTTTTAAACCTACAATTATTCGTCGTACCGATCAATTTTCCCCTTTAAGCTTCATAAGTAAGTGATTTAGTTTGTCAAAGTAAACCGAAACTGAGAAACATTGTTGTACTAAAATTTTTTTATTTTAACAGCTTCCGAGAGGAACTTGCCTCATTTCTTTGCCTTTAAAAGGAGTTTTGCCATTCTTTCATATTTCATACTCACCTTTTTATAATAGATATTACATTTCAAAATTACCATAATCATTTTCTTTGAACATTTATTCACGTTATTTTCATTTGAAAAAGAAATCACATCAAATGCCAGATTCTGTTCCTGGGCATGCAAATGAAACGTTAAATTTCCTGATCGGATTTTTAGTTTCAGTTGCAGCTTCAATCATGAACGCTGCTGGTCTTAATTTACTGAAATTAGATCATGAAAAAAATTCAAGTAAACCATCATCATTACAAAGGAACGAGTGTGGAAGGCCATTATGGCATGTCGGTTTATATTTGTATGTTGCCAGTCAGATGGTTGGGAGTACCATTGCGCTAAGTAAGTTTTATAAATAAATAAATCAATCAATCAATCTTAAGTTCAGATTTCCATTAAAAAAAAAAATTATTTTTTAATTTTTTTTTTAGATTTTCTTAAAGCTCAATGGGTTGCTCCTCTTGGCTCAGTTTCACTCATTTTTAATTTTGTATTTGCTAGAATGTTAGTAGGAACTAAAATCACGAGGAAGGATATAATTGGAACATTTGTTGTAATCCTCAGTGTGATTTGGATCGTCATATTTGGAGGTGTTAACGCCGGAAATAATGGTAAATTTAAAAAAAAAATCATTTAAGAAAAAACCCACAAAATATTAACGTATTTTCCAAAACAAAAAAAAAGACGAATATCTTACTTTGGGAAAATTAAAATCTCTTATGATAAGGCCACTTTTCATTGTCTATTTTTCATTCCTTGATATAATCACCTTTGGTTTATTTGCCATCGCTCTTTATTCTTATTGGATACTAAATGATGAAGATAGGAAGCAACGAGATAATTTTTATAAAGGAATTGATTCGTTGCGACTACAAAAGGCAATTGGTATGACCATGGCAGGCGTGGGTGGGTTAATTGCAAGCCAGACTCTACTATTGGCAAAGAGTGGGTATGTATTAAAAAAAGATGAGATCAAATTGTAAAATGTGTAATTTCATTTGGTGATAATTTATTAATATGTGATGCATATATTCATGAAGCGTCAAGTTATTCTCGATTTCTATGACAGGCAATAATCAATTCACCGATAATTTAAGTTGGTTCATTTTAGTTGGACTTGCTGTCACAGCCGTGATGCAAGTAAGTTGCGATAGACCACGATATATATATATATATATATATATTTTTCGCGTTTTGCGTGTAAAACTAAAATATTTTTTATAAAATATTTTTAGGTATATTGTTTAAATACAGCATTAAAATTACATGATTCCGTGTTGGTCGTGCCAATGTTTTACGGCTTTTATACAGGTAAATTTACATCTTTGGAAAATTAAGAAGATTTATTGCTTATAGCTAATATTTATTTCAATATTATTAATTAAAACAGCAATGGGACTTGTAAATACGATGATATATTTGGACGAAATATCGACATATCCGCTTTGGGCACTTTTATTGGTTACATTTGGAATAGGTAGTTTGGTGTATGGAGTTTTATTACTTAGTGCATCCAAAGAAGAAGTAGAAGAAGAACCTAGCGTGGATTCAATGGATTTTGAAATTGATGAAGAGGAGGAAATGAGGGAAGAAAATATGTTAGATACAAAAGCGTGGGATATTGGTAGTACGAGCGGAGCTAGTAGTTCTGGGGGATCTTATGTAGGAATATTAAATAGGGATAGGACAGCAAATAATAGATCTGGTGGAGGAAAGAAAAAATTTGGAGATGGAAGATTTTTTTCATTTTCAAAAAAATCGTCAAATAGTAAACCAGGACTTTTCAGAATGTCATTGTTGAAAGGAGGAAAGCATAAATTAAGAGATTTAGACAATACAAAAGACTCTCATAATGACAGTGATATGAACAATTATACAACACCACATATTATTATAGATGATGAAAGTATTTCTGATGATGAGGATTACATACAAGAACAACGAGCAACAACACCTTCTATCACATCTCCTGCTACAGCCGCAACAACTGATTTAATGCTTTTCTCACCAACATCAACAAATATAAATTCGTCGACTGCTATCATTCAACCAATATCTTCAACCACCAGCAATTTTAATCCTTTATTAAGGCATAGGTTAGTTGATAATGTATATGAAAATGAAATAATGTTTTCCAGGAGTTTTGATGATTTGTTAAATACTGATGAGTTAACAATTGATAAATGGTCAAAGAAAAGTAATGATAACAAAAATAACGGAGAATAACAAAATCAAAACAAAAACAATTATCAATAATTTAATTTTAAAAAAAACAGGTTTTTTTTTAATTTTTCAATTGTATTACAAAATTATTTAATTTTTTGAAATGGATATAATTAGAAACTACAATGAATTAGAAAATTCAATCTTAATTAATTTATGTTTGTAATTTCGTAATAGGGTTAAATAAACAAACCTAATTATTAAATTTTTTACTAAAAGAAAAATTTATGTGCTCTATATAATTTTATAACACGTGATACCGACTACCAAATTTCAGTAATGATTCCAAAGGTGTTGAATTAACTTCTTTGAGATCACAAATCTTAAATTAAGGATATATACGTTTTTTAAAAAAGATAAAATTTAATATTTCGCGTTTAGACAATTATGATCTATATAAGATAATTCACATATTCTTCGCTTGATTAATTATAATTAATCAACTCGTGTTTAAATTATTTCAAGTTCCATTGTAGATGGGGTCATCCAAAAGTATTGGTTATCCCCTGAATTTTTCCATCCATCCATCCACCCATGTAACTTCCTTTTTTGGTTTGTAACACTTTTTGTGACATTTTTGTATGACTCTCCTTCGTATCGTACATACCATATAATCATGACCAACAATCTCGAAAACTAAATTTATGATACTGTATGATAAATATGCAAAGAATCCATCTCGGTGATCTTACGTATGATCCGTAAAACTTGATCTAATCTAAAAGAAAGATTATATATACTTTGAAAATTAAAAAAAAAAATTCGAGTGGGTTATTTGAGTTATTAACAGCATTCTGTGCACGCTTTTTCAAATCACTTGAAATTCTTTTTAACTTCTTAATAACGAACTACGTTATAAAAGAAGCTCGTTATTACAATCAAGTTTTACTTTTGAACAAGGAAAGAAAATAATAGGGGCTATTGATTTTTAGAAAATCTAAAGTACCAGGTAAATCAAATTATTGTTGCGCACAACATTACTAAAACTTTATTTTTCGGGAATTAAACCCGAAACTTAAATTCCTGTAACGCCAAAACCACCCCATTTTTAATTCATGTCGCGAAACGCTTTTTTTTTTTAAAAAAAAAAAAAAATTTTTTCACATGGAAAAAAGCGAAAGATACGATTGCTAACTTTATTCCGGAATAATGATTGATCTTAAGTTCATGAAATAATTTTAAAAAGGAGATTGTTTTAGTATACTTAAATCTTTTTTTTTTCTTATAAAAAGGGATAGAATACCCAAATTTTTTTTTTTTTTTAAAAAAAAAGAATAATAATAAAAGATATAATAAATTAAAATACACTCGTATACATATAATAGAAAAATGTCGATACTTACACTCGTATTAACATCAATTCATTTACCAACATTGGTCACAATATTAACAATAACTTATGTATTTCGATATTATTTCAAATATTTCACCCGTCCCAATCCATTACCGGGACCTTTTCCGATACCACTATTCGGTAATGTACATCAAATGGGATTAGATCCTCAATTTTTTGCGAATAAGTTGCGAGAAAAATATGGAGACGTGTGTGAAACCTTTGTCGGTTCAACTCGATTAATCTGGTTAAGCAGGGCTGATTTGGCCGAAAAAATTTTTAGTCCATCAAAGAAGAGTAATTATTTTTTACGTGGTAATAAAAAGAATAATTTTGATGATTTAGGTGTGAATGATCATGGAATCGTATTTAACAGGGATTATGCATCTTGGCGGTTTAATAGAAAGTTCCTCTCTCAATTTACAATGTCAACAAATTTTCTTAAATCCTTCGTTACAGAAATTCAAATAATTTTCAAAGAATTACAAAGTTATTGGAGTGAAATGAGTATGAATGAAAATGAACCCGTTGAAATTGATTTCTCGGATTGGGCGTTAAGAATATCAACTGATATCGTTATCAAGACAACTTCTACTCAACGAGCTTATTCGATGGCAATCTATTTTAATAAGATTTCTCCTCATAAGAAGGCAAACGTACCTGATTCAGCTTTAACGGAATCCGAAAATTTCATTCATTCTATTACCAATTACATCTGGTTGATTCAAATGTGTTTTATCCTTCCACCCTTGGTAAGGCATTACGTTCCTGGTATTAGGCAGTACATGAATAATTTATTCAAAACACAACGATGGTTTCATGATAGAATCGATGATTTTATACGCAAGCGAAGAGATGAAATCGTTGAAACGCCCATGGATCAACCTCTAAAGACTGATATTTTAACTTTGTTGTTAACGTATGGGACGACACGTGACATCACCTCGAAGAATGATGAATCGTCTCGCCCGTTAACCGAGGAAGAAATTAGATACACCATGATGGAAGTTTTCACGGGAGCGATTGACACCACAGCAAATTCTTTAAGTTTTATTATTTATTATTTATGTAAATATCCTAAAGTTAGACAAAAAATGATTGAAGAAATTGAAGGTTATACTGGCAAGGATCAAAATGCTCAAATCAATTTTAATAGCTTAGAAAAATTACACTATTGTGAAGCTGTTTTTAAAGAAGTCGCAAGAATTAATCCCGTGGTTGGAATCATGTCTAAGGTTGCAAGTGAAGAAGATGAAATAGCTGGTTATAGATGGCCCGCCGGTCAAGAATTTTTCCTCAACTTGGAAGGAATGCATAAGAATAAGGTACATTGGGATATACCTGAGGAATTCAATCCGAATCGATTTTTAAATGAGAGGAATGAAATTATACAAAGGTTACCAATTTATCAATTTGGAGGAGGTCCACGAGCTTGTCCTGGTAGGCATATGGCCCTAGCTGGTTTGAAAACTTTGGTTATTTTATTGTTGAAAAGGTATGATTTTGAATTGGTGGATAAAGATGCTCCTTTAAAAATTGTTGCTAGCGTTTCCAACGAATGTAAAGATCTAAAAATTAAAATTTCTCCGAGAACGGTGGCTCTTTAAACTATCCTTGAAAGTATATATATTTTTTTTATTTAAATGCATGCGATTGGTCAAAGATATTTTTAGATCGATTATGACCGAAATTGGATGCTTAATTTGTATAAAAGAGAATGATATATTTACTATTTGACCGACCAATTAAAAGAAATCTATGTGAAACTGTACTTTAAACAATGTAACTTTTAATTACGAATATAGTTAATAGTCATGTGATAGTCGGAGCAAAATACTGTAAAGTTATTTTTTGAGACAATTTGGGTCTTATTTTGAGACTCAAAACAGTGAATATAAATTGGTTTCATTTGGATTCCTCTTTTTTTTTAAAAAAAAAGAAAAGAAAAGGAACAAAATTTATCTAATTAAAGAATGATAAGTGATTCATTATTTTTAGTATCAGGTCTTCTCTGAAGATGTTTCTATAGAAAGCAAACTGAATTCACCAAATATAATAGACATGTCTCTTCACTCTTGGCAGTAAAAGTAAAAATATTGTTTTATTGTGTGATGATACTTAGAATGGTTCAAATTTCAGAATAAATCCTTATATGTTGTATTAGAAATTACATAAGCATAAAGGCCAACCACATGTTAAATACATAAGCGGATTGAAAATTTGAGAATTATTTTCAAAGTTTGTTGTAGATAGTGCAGTAGCCATAAGTGTTAATAAAAGTAAAAAGAGTTACCAATATATTGTGTCTAATATACACTGGTGATAATATTAGTTTTTGGTTTTAGTCATGATACTTATATTGTGAAAGTATTTCTGAAATGATTAGAAATTGTGAAATTTTGAGATGTGATCAACTGAGATTATTGATTTTGCTTATAAAATTTATTATAATAAAAAAGCAATTTATCATCTAAATAGTCTAAGGTCTAAAATTTTTAGAAAACTTAGTTATCTTAGATCTGCAAATGATAAATCTCCTATTAAGTTTCTTAATCTATAAGACACTATCAGTATCTATGGTATCTATTTACAAGTTTAAAAAAGGTTTGAATATTTGAACCTTCATGGTCAAAGAGACTTAAATGCTATAACTACAATTACTTTATATATAAATAAACTTTCAATATTAAAAAAAGCCAATTACTATGTTTAATAAATAAAAACTTTTTCCTTCTTTATGTTTATTAATGAATTTTATAAAAAGTACAGTCAGAAAGATATAATGTTTAAATGTATCAATTTGCCTGTTATATTTAGATACATTTTATTTTAAATTAATCTTTAAATCTGCTATATCTGCTCTTAATCCTTTTAAAATAAATATAAACTTTTCTGCTATAAATATATTTATTTGTTCTAAATAATAATACAAAAACTATTAAATTATTTATACCATCTTTATTTAAATCTACAATACTTATTAACTAACAGAATCTTAATTATGCTTCATCATTATTTATATTTTATGAATTATATACATATATTATCTTATTAGCAATATCAAGAATATTTATTAATTTATATAATATTATTATTTTGATAATAATAATGATCTTAGTAAAAATTTAAAAAATCATAATTTTTTTTCATTTATTATAAATATTGCTTCAACTAATGATATTTTTAGTAAGTAATTAAGAATCAGTATTTCTAATTCAGTTGGTAATAACTGAACTCCTATTGTAAGTTACACTGCAATAGCCATAAGTTCAGATTTCAGCTAAGACATAATACTAGGTGATTTTCCTATAAATTTCATATGTAACTGAATACGTAAACATATATACTAATATGCATTTATAACTATTTAATTAATATGTTAATCAGCATTAATTATATCTAAATACTAAATTTTAAAAAACATGTGAATGCAAATTAAACTAAAGATCAATAGAAACTTGACCTTTACTGATAAGTCTATAATAAATACTGTCTTATGTCTTACAATTTCAGAGGTTCTTACACAAATAAAAAGTAAACCAGTAATTAGTAAATTAAGTACTACCTTCAGATAGCTATAATGATAATAGACTACATTGCACTGTCATAATACTATCTAATTAAGCTATCATTAGAGAATAAAGATCAGATTCAATTTCTGGATAAATTTGATGTTATAGGTATGACAGCTACTTACTTTTTGAGATTCTATAAGGATAACAATATCTAAGTCTTTTTGATAATGTGTAAATATATCCTAATATTAGATAGAAGGTAATAATAATCTAAATATAATGTTAGCAAATACAGGAAAAATTGACAAAAATACCTGTAGTTGAAAATAATCCCTCTAGCTAAATTTAATAGTAGTTCTGAAGTTCTAGGATCCCTGAGAATTAGCTCTTAGGAGATCAATCTAGATGGCAGACCTTAAATCAGTATTAGCAAACAGGTTCTGGTTAAAACTTAAGTTTAGCATTGACCTTAAGAATTCTAAGATTGATCAAAGTTTATATATCTTAATAGTACTATTGTTATATGATCTCCTAGTATTCAGATATTAAAACTTAAAAAAAATAATATTTCTGATAAATATAAATAGAATAATGTATTAATTATTAAGAATAAAAAAAATTAAGTTTTTCTAATTGTAATAATAATAATCTAAGATTAAATTTAATATGAAAATGTAATATTACCTAAATTTTTGAATTTCATTCTTATTAAAATTTTTAATTATTATATTATGAATAAAATAAGCATAAGAATAAAAAATATTTATTATTAAAATTTTATTTAAATCATTGAGAACTAGATAATATACTGCATAGAATACTTTTGTGAAAATATTAAATAATTAAAAATAAAATAAAGATAAAAAAAGTTTTAAATTTGTCTAAGGTAAATTTATTGAAATATTATTTTTATTAATAATAATTTTTATTAGAATATTTTGAAATATTTGATTAAATTTGTATATTTTTATTATTACATTTTTTTATTTCTAAAAAATCAAAATCAAAAAAAAAAGACTTTTTCATAATCAGGTCTCTTAATAATTAATAATATATTCCTTAAAGCATAGGTATAAATTGGCTATAAAATATTATAGAAAAATTATAATATTTTAATATCTAATAATTATAAAA